CAAATGTAATTTTGACACCTTCCAATAAAATGTCCAGGACAGGCGTACTTCTCTTTGATTTTTTTTGGAATAGCCCTACAATAGTGAGAGTTATTTTCTTGTTGTGTGAATAATTCATGGGTATCCCTGTGATGGTCCTAAATGCAGATGATGTGGGTGGTATTAGAATTGAAATGTCTCGGGATTAACATTCTAAAACTAAGGAAAGGGGATAAAAGAATGGAGGCAGTTGGCACTGAATATACAGGAGGTGAACGAACTGGACCACTAAGCTTTCACTTTCAAAAGATTCATAGTAGGTTCTGAAGAAGTAGATTATTTTGGATCAAATGTAGAATATTTAGGAATCAATTTTGATTTATGAGTTAGCCTGTCACCTTTAATAAATAATTCTAGTAAGCTCTCACTTGTTAGCTTTGGGTATTCTAGACATTTCTTTCTCTCATTCAGTTTCCACAACAAGCCCATAAAATGAGTATGGTTATTTTTCTATTTTACAGAAGAGAAAACAGGCCTTCAATAGGGCCAAGGGACACCTCTTTGAAATACAAATTTGAACTCCCGTCTCTCTGACACAAAAGGCCAAACTTTAAAGTCAGTAGGTATTCCAACTTAGGGGTGTTCTGTGGTTGCTCAAACCCCCGGACCAGCGTGGGCTCTTCCCTGTGGGCTACCACAGTTTGGGTTCTGCCAATGCTTTTATTTGTTTTACTTTCAAAACAGTGCACACTGGTGCCTTTTGTTTCCCCAGAAGCGTTGATTCACATTCCTTTAAATAAATTAACCTTCCCATCTCGTCTGTCTCATTTGATGGGAGCAGGTTCACATGCCAATAAAAATAGAAATGGGATCACACGACAAGAAGGGAGAAGAGGCAGAGGCTGGTACGGGTGTGAAGATATGAGTACAGGCTCATCATCTCTACTCTCCCTCAAAACAAAACAAAACAAAAACAGCCCCACAGCTTGATTCTAATCACAGTTTTCTCTGTAATTTTTAAATGGTTGATATACCTGATTAATACAGATATGGGGGAACATTCATTGTTTTTGCAAGAGAACACTACAGATTTTATCGCTTCTTTCCCAAATAGATACTTGACAGTGATGTTGAGTTTCGGTGTTGGACCTGTGAGTACTAACCCATAGCCTGGGAAGATTCTTCATCCATAGCAGGATGGGCTTGTCTGAAGCCCAATGCCACTTAGGAGATGAAATGTGTCTTTGTGCTGTTTTTGCCGGCATCCTAATGAAGCCCCTTGGCTTTGTTCCATTTTAGAACTCACGGCTCTCTGCGCACCCCACCTGCTCATTCTCAAATCTCTCCTCTTCTAGGAATCATTCCTCCACACCTGTCTCTTTTCTGGTTCCTCAAACTTGCCTTTTGATTTCTCGCTCCCTTTAAGCCTCATTGGGCGATGGCTTGCTAAGCTCCAAAGACATGGCTAAGAATAGCTGAAGTCCTTTGAGAACAATACAGTCTTACGTTGATAAAAATGGCAGTAGTAAAGCTATAATTCATATTTTTAAATGCAGTTTTGCAGGTTATCAGTATCTTAACATAAAGGAGTGTCTTCCCAAAGGTGCTGCCTCTGTGACAGATTGGTGGTGCTCTCTGTGGATAGGTTAGTGGGTCTTGTCATTAGGAGCCTTCGAGCCATGGGCAGAAGATGACCTCAAGCTCATGAGGCTGACCTTGGCCTCATCAGTCCACGTGGCTTGCACAGCTCCCGTGAAGACTCCTCCCAGCACAGGCAGCGGGGAGTCTCAGTGGCCAGTGACAGAGGCCCCAGAGATGGGGTTAGGGGGTCTGTGAGGTGTCCTGAAAGTAAAGTGGAAATGCTCATTCCACACTTTTGGAAATTACCTTACAGGCATATTATGATAATTCAACTGTGAATATATTCACGTCTTGAATATAGTTAAAAGAAACAGATTGGTATGTTTCAGGTTTGGACTTGCCCTTTCCTAGACTGTCTGCAGGGAGGGTTTTCTCCCAGGCTGGTTTTCCTCTGCCACCCAGCTGTTTCTGGAACATTACCACAAGTTTGAAACCCAGGATGTACGATCGGAGTTTAGCTCTATGAACCACTCTCAACTGGGACGATAGCGACTGAGACTTGCGGGCTGCAGCAGATGCGTGATGAAGGCACGTTCTGATAAGCTTATCACCACATGTAAGCGGGCCATGGGAGGTCATGCGTGGTGTTGCCAGGTCTAGCAAATCAACATAGAGGATGCCCAGTTTATATTTGAATTTCAGACAAACAACAACTAATTTTTTTAGTAAAGGTATGTCCCTGATTTTATCTGAAAATCCTAGTCACATAACAACTTAGAAGTACAGGAAAAAAAAGTGAACTCTTTACATCTGTCTTCCACATAAACCCGTACTTGCAGGTTAGCAAGGAAACAAACGGGTAGCCACAGCTGAGTTAGAAGCTGGCCTGGCCTGATTGTTTGAACAGTCCCTGGAGGTGATGATTAGTCTTTAGCATTAAATGCTTCCTTCTTATATTGGCTTTTTCACACCATCTCAACTGCCCAGCTGCTTCGCCAAAATAGCATCTGGGGTTTTGGGGTAAGAGTGAGTGCAGGTCTTAGGGCATGGTGTCCCTTGGTCTCTAGGCTCTGCCTGTGATCTCCCCTGTCACTGCTGACCGCCACCACCGAATTCTGCAGCTGTTAAATTCCTGGTCAGCTCTGGCCTGGGTGATGCCCTTGGGGATCCCTGGCACCCTCCCGCTGGCAGACACACCTCTGCTTAGCTCCTGTTGGCTTCAGGGCCCTTAGTGTCTGCCAAGTTTTCTATCCCAGCAACCCCTGGCCGAGGGGTTCACCTCAGGATCATCTCACCCCATCATAGCTGCCTTATTCCAAAGTCTACTGACTGGCATCTGACATCTGTCTACATTGATCCGGGCCAGGCCCTCCCTACAGTGAGCTTCTTCCCAGAGTCTCAATGGAGCAACAGCACCAAGATTCCCCAGTGCCCTGGACCTTCCCCTCACTTACCTTGCAAGCTTGTGCTCTTCTGCCTGGGGCCAGAGAAGTGAAAGCAGAACTTGGTTCTGACCACATGACTTGTCACCATTTTTACCCTCATTCCCCCAACACTAGGAATGGTAAGGGCTGAACTTTCTTGCTATTTCTTACTCTGCTCTGTGCTTCCCTTATTCTATAACTGCAAGCTTCCTGTCTTAGGTGGGAAGGGTATGTATCTTCTTTGCACTGTGGGAAAAATTCGGTGATTGAAATCCTAGAGGCTTAACACTGGGTAGGTTGCAATGGTTCTCAAAAGTGGTCACTGACCAGGAATGTGAATGAAATGCAAATTCTCAGGCCCCCGCCCTAGAACTAAGGACTCAGAAACTCTGGGGCTTTGGACCAGCCGCAGGCAGCTGACCAGGCTCTCCAAGTGATCCTGACGCACAATGTGGGGCTTTACAGATTTCAGCAACTTCTCTTGCTCCCTCATATGGGTTCCAAGCTGAAAATGTCTTATTAAACAAAGCAAATACACCCCAATCAATCTGGTTGATTAACATTGGTAGATAAACTTGAAACATTTTTTGGTAAAAAAAAAAAAAGAAAAGTAAGAAAATTTCAGCTTTTCAAAAAGGGAAGGAAATTCTGACACGTGTTCAAAAAAAGAAATACCGTATAAATCCATGTGTGTGAGGTACCTGCAGTGGTCAAATCACAGGCACAGAAAGGAGAACGGTGGCTGCCAAAGCCAGGGGTGGGAGCCAGTGACCGGGAGTTACTGTTGTATGGGGACAGAGTTTCAGTTTGGGAAGATGAGAGGAGTTCTGAGACGGATGGTGGTGATGTTTGCACAAGAGTGTGAATGTGCTGAATGCCACTGAACTGCCAATTAAGAGTGGCTGAGCAGTACATTGTGTTACGTGTACTTTACCACATTAAAATTTTTTTAAATTAAAAATAAAATAAGAAAAGATTAAAGTTGTAATTTAAAAATGGCTTAAGTTCATCATCACCAAGCCCTTATTATATGAAATATTAAAGGGACTTATCTAAGAAAAAGAAGTTAAAAAAACATGAACAGTGAAAGGACAGCAAACTCACAGTTATTAACAACCACACCTAAAACAAAAGCAAACTAAAAGGACAGCTAGATCAGGAGTGGAAACATAGAAATAAAGATCTCAAGGAGGGTTAGCAACAGGGGAGTGGGAGGAGGAGAAGGGGGGAGAAGGTACAGAAAATAAGTAGCATAGACAGTAGATAGAAAATAGATGGGGGGGGGCAAGAATAGTATGGGAAATATAGAATCTAAAGAACTTGAGACACATGGTTATAAACTAAAGGAGGGTAATGGTGAGGGTGGAGGGGAATGAAAGGGGGGAATAGAACAACTGCAATGGCATAATCAATAAAAAATAAATTAATTAATTCCCTAAGCCTTAAAAAATGGCTTAAGTTCTTAAGCAACAGGTATTGATTTGAGGGAAGGTCACACGGCTAACTCAGCTGGTTATCTACGGAGTATAATTCTGGATGTTAGTTAAAGTCTTCTAGTAACTGTGGGTGTCTCACTAGATCTCACTTGAGTTTCTGAATTGCCTGAATTGCAAGAAGAAGATGATCAAATAGATCTGGCTCTAGAATTTAAATAGGATAGCTGGTCTCAGTATGGCTATTGAGATAAAAGATAATATACTCGAATTTTTGCCTATCTCAGGCTAAAAGGCCTTGGGCACCAGTGAACTCCTAGTGGTGTGTATCCTTTACATCAAAGTATTGGCACACCATCAGCTGCTCCTCATCTGCTGGGAGGATGAGCCACAGGGGCAGGCCCAACATTGTACTCTGTCCATGGGCCCAAATAGGAGGTCTTCTAGGTCCCTGCACTGGTCCACTCTGCCAGTCATTGGGTGTCTCAGTATTGTCAGGTGGCGGAGCTTTACAACTCCCTCTACCTCCAAGTGATATGCACTGGTTGCCCACCCAATAAAATAATATTCTTAATGCAAACAATTCATGTGCTCTCAATCTTGTTAAGGAATGAATAAAAGCATCTGTAGAAAACTGCTCCAGGCTAATCAGAACCAGAAAACTCACTACTCAGAGCACAGCTTCGGGACACGTCCCCACGGCCCTTCACAACCCACCGGGACGCACCTCTTACAGGAACCTCTGCGCTACTGTTCCAATCCCATTTCCGTGCTGCACACATTTCCTGGGGGAGAGAGAAGATTTTTTATTACACAACTTTTCATTTTGCAGTGTTTAATCCTATAATTATGATATAATCGGCATGGAAATTTTTGAGGACTGCATGTTTGAAATGCTGACTTTTTTGGCAAAGCCATATGTTGTCAGGTAGGTGATAGAAACATTTTCCTTCTTTTTGTTGTTTATTTTTTATTTTTCAGTTACAGCTGACACACAGTAATGTATTAGTTTCAAGTGTGTCACAGTGTGTAGGCATTTACATAACTTATGAAGTGATCCTGTGGTAAATCTAATGCTCATCTGACAATACATATTTATTATAATTCAACGGGGGACCCCCCCAAAACAATTTATTTATAAGAAATTGTGTTTTTATTCTTACCTGTTTAAACTTTAGTCACCTTAAAAGTACTTTCCATTTGATGCAATACATTTATCGAGACATTTTTTTCACTGCTCAAAACAGTTTTTGAACTCATCAATTTTGATGCCTTTTAGTGCTTCTGCCATTTTTCATTCCACCTTCTCCACATTGGCAAAACATTTTCCTTTACAGACATTTTTCATCTGGGGAAACAAAAAAAGTCTCCTGGGGTGAGATCAGGTGAATAGAGCGGATGGGACATAAGGATCATGCCATTTTTGGTCAGAAACTGCTGAACACTCAGCATAGTGTAGGCAGGTGGACTTGGAAATCGCCCAGCAAGAAATGGGCAAATGCGTTGAAAGAGTCTTTTAAAAAATTCCCTGAAGCTGAACATAACCTCTCACAACACCACCAGCTGGTACACTGATACAGATGGGCTCCTTGAACACTCACGTAGCAGAGGAAGCCGGTACTACAAGGGGCCCGCCCTCCAGAAGATAATTGCAGTTTTTCGGCCCCCACCTCATATTATTAACTTTACTCCTTCTATTGCACTTTGTAGCTCCAGACAAAAGTCTTTGGACACCCAAATCTGACTCTTGTCTCAAAACTCTATAAGACAATGTTCTCATAAGTCCCAGGGAAAAAATAGTGAGATATTTATTTTAACTGTGTGCGTTAAGTTGTTTTAAAAACAAAAGTACCTAGATAATAAACATCAGCTTTCAATACTTTTCAACACCACCACTGATCCTTATAACATGAAGTGTTAACTTCTAATCATACTCTACATTGAATAGGGTTCTTTATGTTCCTGGTTACGAAATAAAGTTTATTATATTCTTGTGGAAGAGTTAGAAAAACATACCATTCACTAAAATCTATGGGGAGGCCATGCTGTCCAGTGGAAAATCCCTGGGCTTTCTAATAGCCTTCACTTTTCATGTACTGGCTGTGTGGATGTAGCTGCATAACCTGCGACAGACCCAGTTGTCTTTAGCTGTACAGTTGGAATAAATTTTATCCAAATGTGTATCTCTGAGGCTTTTTTAATGCTTAAATGAGACACTCTATGCAGAGTGGCAAGTACATACTTGGCATACAGTGTTCACCCTGGAAATGACAGTCATCAGAAAGGTGTGCGAGAGGGACAAGAACAGAGCGTGGAGAAGCAGCTGGCTGAGTTTGCGGGCTCCGTCGTGCTGTTGGGTCTGCCATGACTCTCTTCCCTTGTGCCTTTATTTATTTAAGCCCAGTCTCATTTCTTTGAGACCTGAAGCAACTAAACCTGTCATCAATTTATCATGATTAAGAGTTGAATGAGGCAACAATGGGCAAAGCTAATGGATGTGGAGGTCAAAAGTGGGCGTGCAGAGTGTGAAGTACGCTGGAAACATCTGGAAGGAACCTTGCATGGATGCTGAAAATGGTCTAGATCATTTGTTAATGTTTACATAGGATTAGTGCACCTTACATACTCTGTGTGTGTTAAACCCTAATACCAAAAAAACCAACTACAAAAAGAGGAAAAAATTAAAAATTACTTGAGTTGTGTGTACATAAGGATCAGAAGTCTCCACATACCAAATTCACTATTAGGTGAAGGGATTAAGAAGTACAAATTGCGGGCCTGCGAACCACATGATCGCGGCTTGATTCCCAGTCAGGGCACATGTCTGGGTTGCAGGCGGGTCCCCTGCAGGCCAGTTCCCAGCAGGGGACACACGAAACGCAACCAAACATTAATGTTTCTCTCCCTCTCTCCTTCCCTTCCCCTCTAAAGAAATAAAAAATAAAATCTTTAAAAAAAAAAAAGAAGTACAAATTGGTAGTTACAAAATAGTCATGGGAATATAAAGTACAGCATAGAGAATATAGTTAGTAATATTATAGTAACTATGGGTGGTGCCAGGTGGGTACTAGACTTATCAGGAGGAACACTTTGTAAATTATATGAATGTCTAATCACTATGCTGTACACCTAAAACTATAATAATATAAGATAATATTTATTGTCAACCATGATTAAAACTTTTTCAAAGGAAAATTTACTATTAAACCTAGACAATTTTATTTTTAAAATCTCAGTCATGGCCCTGGCTGGTGTGGCTCGGTGGATTGAGCACCAGCCTGCAAACCAAAGGGTTACAGGTTCAATTCCCAGTCAGGGCACATGCTGGGTTGTGGGCCAGGTCCCTAGTTGAGGGGTGTGCAAAAGGCAACCACACACTGATGTTTCTCTCCCTCTCTTTCTCCTTCCTTTCCCCCTCTCTAAAAATAAATGAATAAAATCTCAAAAAAAATCTGTCAATGAATTTAATCAAGTTCTTTGATTTGCAGACTTTGAAAACTACATCTTACATACATGTTTGACCTGAAGATATTTGTTTGATCTAGAAATAAGTTGGCCTGCAACCATTTGTTTAATCCCTGTTAAAAATCTGGAAGTTTTACATAAGACTCTGGCTTTCTGGCTTCTGGAAAATCAGACAACCTGGCAGCACCGGCTTCGAGTGGTGTGGCCCCACCTCAGGTGACGTGTCCTTTCTCTGGCCGGCTTCGGGGCCCCGCCGCTTCCTGTGATCTTTCGCCTGCCACTTTTTTCATCTCCGGCTAATTGCCCAGACTGAATCTTTTCCAGTAGAAGGATGTTTGACAGTTTCGGACACAGAGCCAGGGCTGGGAATCGGTGTGTCTTCTCTTTGATCTCTCCAGTGCCCACCGCAGCCCCGCCCTCCTGAACTGTTTCCTGAACGAATGAAAATCCCCACGGAGCATAGGGACTGCCTGCTCGGGACCTCTCCTGTCACGCTTCAGTGCCCGTGAGGTTGCCAGTCCCCCTCTCATCCAAACGGCTTCTTTGTACCATAGGACAAGGTAGAGGCTCGGGAAGAATGTTCTTTATGTTGTCCGTTTGAACTATGATTTGAAGCTGGTTTTATCATCCCGAATTATCATCAGGCTAATTGCTTTGACAGCCTCTCTCGTTCCTGCCGGCTGGCGCCATTCAGCTGATCAGCTCTGCTGATATCTGGCTGGGGGTGGCTAGCATATTCTCCCTAAGAAGAATCTGCTAGTCAGAAAAATCCCCAAGCTCCACAATATTGTACATGCCATGTACCTCCCATTTGTAAGCCACAACAAATCTAACGCAGACAGTAGTGTTTAAAAGCAGACACGTCGAAATCAGACAGCCTGGATTCCAGCCCTGTTGCTGCCACCTGCTAGTTTCATGATCCTGGGCAAATTTTTAATCTGTCTGTGCCTGAGATTGTTCAGCAGTACGGTGGGTATAATAACTGCAGCTCCCTAGCAGGGTTGTTGGAAGAGTTAAAACAAAACATACATAAAGAGCACTCAGTATCCTGCCTGATATGTACTAAACACCCTACTAAGTAACACGTATGCTCCTGAGTGTAACTGACATTGGCTGTTGTCACCTTTATACCCTATTTATTTTTTATATTAGCTGTGTAATTTTCCTAGAGATGAAATGAATCATTAGTAATGCTGTGTTCCTCATTGTTCTTTCTCCAGTTTTCTTTTCACCCCTATGGGTAAAATGTGAACCCAAATGTAATTTCTCTCTATCTGCTCTTCTTAGTGCTCAGCAGTAAGTTGGGGGTCCCTACTGGGGATGTCGGCACTTTGAAGGGCTGGCTGAGCTCAGTGCCCTCATTTGCTACCTTCTGGCCAGTGACTTGTATCAGCACCACCATCAGTGAAAAAATGTCATGCCTTCTGGTTTCTGTACCATAAGTGGTGCAGTTATTATGTATCTGATTCTGAACTGAAAGTCCTACAGTTATTATACGGGCAAGGTATTACACAATAATACTCTGGACTTAACCGACACCTTTCACAGTGCTGTAGGCATTCGCTCATCAATCTTGATGTCAGCATGTGGTCAGATTGGGATAAAAATGTTCACCTGAGCGCAAAGGGAACCCAGCTCAAGTGCTGTGTGTCCGCTTGCCTTGGAGTGTGTTCCAGGGCCTGACCCTGCAGGCCCACCCGGCATTCTCCCACACATACACTTTCCCATGAAATTAATCAAAAGGGAACTTGAAAAGGGAAACTGAGTTTATTAAGATTTTCTGTAGGATCACTACGCAGTTCGTGGAACTTCTACATGAAAATTTGCAGTTGTGAACCACTCCCCCCTCCCAATTTTTTTTTTTTTTTACTTTTTTTGCCTTACACATCATCGTCACCTGGGTTATTGTGACTGTGCTCACCAGTGCGATCTGTTCTACATTGTGTCTTCCTCCTAAGGACACACTGTGATTTTGACCAGTGAGATGTGCAGGGCACCAGTGCTACCTGGGTCGTTTATGAACATGATTTTACAACACTTAATTTATTTATTGAGAATCTAATATAAGTCAGTCATTGTTCTAGATGCTTAGAACTCAGCCAGGATCAAAACAAATGCATCTGTCCTCATGTTGACATTCTTCTGAGCAGAGGAATGAAAAATAAACACAATAGATATGTAAATTATACAGTGTGTTAGAAGGTGGTGAGCACTCCATGGCAAGAAAGGAGACCAGAGGCCAACAGGCTGTTTTTATCTCTTCCACTCATAAAGTTCAATGTCTCCTGGGAGTACTGAGGACAAACTTTTACTTTTTCAAAATATTCCCTGTGGAAGTACTTTGGGCTCCTGGAGCATACCATTAAAATGCAAGGTGAGGAAGCACCATGCAGGTCTCCACATCTACCCTCCATAATGAACAAACCTACCCGGAGCCTCGAGAGAACAGTGTGAGCGTCAGGCACAGGCACAAAGAAATTAAAAATCCTCTTCATTTTGGGGGGAGGCTTTCTCTCCATAGACCCTGCCCCCAACTCAAATCACAAACCGGTGCCATACAGGGACATGTGCAAATCACTCAGGGAAATCCCAGTGGAAATCTGGTGTTCTGAAGTCAAGGCCATCTATCTCGGCCTGCAGTTTGTCAACAGAGCACCATAAACCTCTTCCACCTGTGAGTTTGTTTTTTCAAAAGGTTATCAGAAGAAAACAGGCAGTGCCTGAATGAATAAACTACCAGCTTTTAGAAAAAAGGAAACAGGAAACATTTAGAAAAAAGGAAACATTTTTTAAAAGCGTATTTCTTCAAAAACCCATCTAGTCTATTCTTTTATTTCTTTTCACCACTGAAACCAGTAGTGGGGAGAAACTTGGTGATGTTCTGAATTAGAGTGAGGACTAGAGCCCAGAGACAATAGTGACTTGCTCAAGGTCACCAAGCAGGTCAGTGGCAGAACCAGTGCATTCTGGGTTCTGCAGCACTGCTTCCAGATTAAATCGTCAATGCTTCTTCAAGCATGGATTCTGTAACCCTCTACAGCTGGCTGCCAAAGAAGCCAGCCAGGCAGGTGATATATGTGAAGTCTAAGATGTTTTTGCAAGCATTCCAGGTTCTCGCAGAAGTCCCAAGTGGAGCAAGCAGGAAAGAGAAGATGGGTGAGGGCAGGGTTTATGGGGTGGGGAGGCGGTGTGGTGTGGATGAGAGGTAACTGGTGTACCTCTCCAGTGTGAGAGCTTCCCATAGGCCAAAGTCACATGCAAGGACATGAAGGGTGTCACTTCCAGACTTGAAGACCCCAGACTCCAATGTCCTTCAGTCCATGAGGGGCTGCCAGACCACCAAAGGGTAGAGGAGACACATAGTGTGCCATCTCACTTTCTCACTTCAGATCGGGGGAAAGTGGGAGAGTGGTCACCCTGCCCACACCCCTGCTGTTGGGCCATGTTGGAGCTCGCTGCAGGAGCCAGGCCCGGGGCCAAGTGCTTAACCTCCACCACCCCCTGCGTCCCCACAGCAGATAGGTCCTATCATCAGTCCCATTTCAGGAGGAAGTAAAACTGAGGCTTACAGAAGTTAGTCATTGGCACAGGGTTACAAAGCTAGTGAATGCCAAAGTCAGAATTCAGATTCTCCTTCCTTACAGGGTGGCAGTTCAAAGTCTGGGCTCTGGAGTCTGATTGCCAGAGTGTGGACCCCTAGCTCTGGAGCCTGCTAGAGGTAAAGTGTTCAGCAGCTTACTTAACACTCCCCCCACGTCTCCCTTTCTTCTCTGTAAAGTTGTAACAATAATTATAGTATTTATCTTACAGAATTGTAGTAATGATTAGAGAATGTAACATAGTAACTACTGACACATAGTTAATTACTAGTTGTGTGGTGGTTAACTACACTTCAGCTACAGGTTGAATCACATGAAATTGCTATTGTAATAGACCAAAAGTTATCAAATATTAGGTTCCATCTAATACTACATAGGCATCTGTTCTTTGTAAATATAACAATGGTTCCCTTAGTTATCTCCTAATCTGTGAAAGGACAGATGATTTCATTGCTTCAGTATAATTTTTTTCCTTAACTTGCTTGCTTTAGCTTTTCTAGAGATATAGAAATATCACATAGAAATGTCCTCTCTTCCAATTTGACATAGCATCCGTGAGGACAGTTCCCAGAGCCTCCAATTGGTTGAGGCTGCGGTCACAGGGAACTTGGTAGAAAGAAGATTTGGAGCGAGCTTCGATTGGACAGAGCTGGACTATGAGGAAATTTCTGGTGAAATGAGGAGGGAGTAGCCCTGGCTCCTTTAAACCACTGTGAATGCTCTGGTGTGTGAGGGGACGGCCCTCCCAGACTAGACAGCTAATTGCGATAAACAGGTGGCGAGCGTCACCGGCTGTCATTCTGCGCTGTGGAGATGAGCTTCTGGTCAGTGACAGAGGGTTAAATTTGACACGGTCAAAATTAATGTCATGGCCTGGCTGCTCTTGAACTCTGGCTTGGTGGGAGTAGCCTATGATGAAAGGAGAAGCAACTCGGTTGTGTTTGGGGAGGTTGCAAGGGCAGGGGGAGGAGAACACAAAACTGGGATAGGAATTTTGCCTTCCTAAAAGGAAAGAAGGCTACTTTTGAAAGAATGTATCTATGGTGCAGGATCTGGTGGGAGGCTTCTCTTCTGAAAGATGACTCTCTGCCCCACCCCAACGGCTGTTCCCATCTGACTCTGGCCACAATTCTGTTTTCTTAGATTCCACACTATAGGAATATAAATAGCTCTGGAATTAAAGTAGAACATAACATCCTGGAGAGACAGTCTCTCTAGTTAATATGGGAACAATCTTTAAATAAAACAGTTGTTTCAAAATTAACACAGAATATAATGCCATTTTTGAGGCTGGCATTTAGCCTTCCTTGTTGTCTGTAGAAATTACTACTGTATTTAGAGGATATCGGCCCCTGTGAGTTCAGAATTCAGCCCTGAGTGTGTATGAGCATTCCTTTTCCCTGTCCTTTCTTTCTTCATCTAAAACGTAATGTGCACGTCTTTTAAAGACTTTTTAGCAAGGAGGTTTACAAGGAGGTTTAGCAAGATGGGATCCCAGTCCCCCACAGAGGCAGCTGTGAAGTAATGAAAATGCATTTCCTACCCATGAACTCAGACTCGGAGTCCCGCGTTCTTTCTGTGTGCACTAGTCCTTTCCTCTCTCTTTGTGTCTGTGGTTGCTGTTCAGCTGATGCCTGTGCTTTTGGTCTGGGGCAAATACCAAAACTCAAATCAAGCTCTACTTATCCATACAGCTGCAAAGGGCTGCAGTTTCAGGGTCTCAGATGATAGAATTAAGGAAAATTCCTGTAACTGGGGGCAGTTTAGGGACCTGTTATGATTCCACCCACAAAGGTGAGCTGCCAGGTGCTCCAGTGCGGTGAATTTTAAAATGCAGTGTTTTGTCGGTTTGGTTTTTTTTGGGTTTTTTTTGCAAGCAGTATCTTGATAAATTTCTGTGTCCGAGGTGATTTTTTACAAGTTTGTATTTTATTGCTGGAGACAATGACAGCAGAAAGATTTTTCTTTTTATGTGATTCTCCCTCTCTTCTAGTTTCTGTGAAAAACTATTGCTTGCAAAAACCATAGAAAACTGAAAATTGAAGTTATTCAGCTGCAAAGCAGTCGGAGTGGAGACTGGCCAGGGACGGGTGGAAGAGCAGACAGGGGCACTCAACGGTTAAAGCTGCCAAGGCTACTCCTTCTCTCTTACCTTCACTTAATTGTCATCACAGAGCACCATGCTGTTTATGAGTCAAAGGACCTAGAGCGACAGTCTTTGGAGAGGGCAGAACGTGGCTTACCCGTTACCACAGCTGTCCTTGCAACAGCCTGACAAACAGCTGCTTCCGAGTGTGGGGCAGGAGTGCACGTGGGACGGGAGTGCCAGTGGGGCGGGAGTGCGCGCAGGACCAGGCTTCCAGTGGCTACTGTAGAAACCAGTTCTCAGGTTCTGGCCCTGCGTGCTTCCTCTTGCATCGGGGGGGCCTGCTGCTGTCAGGCAGGCTGGCCCGTGATTGGCTGGGAGGAGGGCAGTAATCCGAACTGCCTTTTGTATTTGGCTAATCAGGGCAGCCGTTTGATTGCAGGTTCCGAGCAGAGGTGCCTGCTTGGTGTCAGACACCTGTGTCTTAGCTTTCGCCTTCCTGGCCCTGGCTCCTGTGGATTCTTTCCGGGCTGGAATTGTGCTTCTCTGCCTCTTTTCCCAAACCACTGAGCCCCTTCCCTGGGCCAGCTTGGCCCAGTGTCACGCTGGACAGAGATGTCCAACAGACAACTGAGGACAATGGAAACACTAGCTTAGACTTCCTTAAGGTAAGTCCATTTTAAACCAGATATTTCTCAAAATTATATTCTACATTTATCTTGACAGAAGGGCCAGTGTGGAAAAGGTAAATGATGAGAGGCAGGGAAGTTTAGTTTAGGCCTTTATTGAAATCATGAAGGAAGGTCTCTTCCTTCGACTTTGCCATCTACATAATTTCTAAGTCATTTGCTGTCAGGTGTGCTCGTAAAAATGACACCAGTGCGTAAGTAAGGATGTGAATTTGAAAGGGGGCACTTGTCAAATTACTGTAACCCTTGCAGGCAATTGACGCTACATTACGTGCACCACCCTATTTGATGTGGAGCTCAAGTGAAGATAGGAAAAGTGACTGTTAAGTAGGGCCAGCAAATATCTGTGCGCCAGCTTGTACAGTAACACAAAGTCGGGCTGGAGATCCTGGCTCCCTCCAATCATGCAACCCCAGGGTTTCTAGTCTCGTTCTAATTGCCACTCATTTTTAAAGCTACTTTCAACTTTTTCTCTTGTGATAGGAAAAGCAGTTTTTCTTTTTCAGATTTGTTCAACATCAGGGAATGAGTTTCACTTCAGTCTGGGGGGTGATTGTCTTACTTTGGTCCTTACTCATCCTTATGTTTCAGAGAAAGTCAGATGATGAATACAAGTACTTGAATTTGAGCAGCAGCTGCTTAGGACTATTAAGCCATATTTCGGATCAAACTTAAGCTCTACTCTGATTTCATTTCACTTGTAAGTTGATTGACAAATATATCAGGGACCATCCTGCTGTCCCTCTTGGACAGCTGTCAGCATCCTGGTCACTCTAGGACTTAGTAACCCAAGGCTGGTAAAAAGACCAGTGGTTCAGAACTAGTTCCTCACAGTCCTGCCTGTTTGGTCCTGATAGGAAGGGAGTGATTTTCTCTTTCATTTTTTTAATGTAAACTTTCTGTAAATGAATAAAGGTCCGTTTGTAAATCCAAAGAGGTTCTGAAGCTACTTTTCCTACCTAATTAATTCCAAAGATATAAACACCTTCACGAAACAAAGGTGTTCTCCAATTCTGAACAACTCTATTGAAGTGGTAAATAGTGATAGAGAGATGAGATAGAGGTGCAGGAAAGGGGATGAGCATTCATAAACCATTCACTCAAAATCTGTGTTAATCATCCTGAAATACGCCTTTTTCTTCCAATGTTTGTAGTCATTAGGAAATTTTCATCTTTCTTAGCTGTTAGTTAACTCATCTTTATGAAAATATTTTTCTATAATGAGATCAACATGTTAATAATGCTAAATATAAATACCAAAAATGACTACTTTGATGATTAAAAGCATCATTAATGACAGTACCCATGGGGTGAAATGTGATCATCACACAAATCTCCAGCAATCTTTTTAATGTAATGTGTGTGCAAATAGGACAGATGGTTGGTGATAATTGAAAAATTACATTGGTTGGCAGGCAGATACTAAGTGAATGTGTAAATGTTGAAGGACTTAAAGGAGAAATGAACATTGGAAAACTAATAAATATATATTTAGCATTGATTTAAATTTCAAAATTCTACCTTTGCTTATGAATTACACCTAGAGAGTATATAAGTCAAAAGATGTATAAATCAAAGGTAATTTCCTGGATTAAGCATAAGTCATTTTTGTATGGATAAGGATAAATAGTCTTAACCACTATCTTAAAAAAAAAACACACTACTCATTTAAAAAAAGAAACAAAAACCCCATTTCTTGAAAAAGTACAGAAAGGAAGAGAAAACTAGTTGTAAAACCTCTTTATAGCTAGTTAAAAAGAAAATAAAGTCAGAAGAAACACCACATTTTTTATATTGAGTATAGAAAGCCCTTGCACGTATCTGCAGAGTCGCGGGGACCCCCAAATATGTACTTTAACTCAACTGTTAATAAATAAAATATAGTTCACCCCAAGAACAGTATCATTAGAGAATTAGACTGAGGTGAGGGATGAAGTATCTTAAATTCATTCTTCCCCCTTCTGGAGCTGTGGAATGTCTGCCAGGCTCCTCCACCAGTGCGTGTCCCCTCTGATGCTGTGGGTAGCGCACAATAAGGCACAATAGAAAGCACTGGGCCTCCCCCTCCCAGACACACACTGTGTCCCATTGGCTCTGCTTGAAAGGTTCAGCTATGCAAATGAAAGCTGCACACGTCAGACACTTCCCTCCCGGCAACTGTCCTTCTCCCTGATTCCCTCCCTCAAAAACAGCGCTGGATCTCAGCCTTTGCTTTGACTTTTCTGAGCTGGAGAGCCCTGTGAGCTCAGAGGCGAACAGCGAGGGGGGAACCTCCCATTTGCTCAAAGTGCTATGGCCATAAGGACTGGATAAGCCAGCTGGGGACCCTTAGCCCTAGACACACGGGAAAAGAGTTTCCTCATCTCCACTCTATAAATGGCTTCACTAAAAGGTCACTGGTTAATATGGAAAAGTTGTCATTCTTTGTTCTGCTAAATTTCTCAAGGGCATGGTTTTGTTTTGTTTTGTTTTGTTTTGTTTTTTTTAAACAAAAAACCTCCAACAATCCTAAAGTTCACATCTCAGGACAAATGGATGATTTTGGAAAGGAGGAACCTGAGCAGGCTCAACTCATTTTGCTTCTTAGTTGGACAGATAAGATTAAAAAATGAACGTCAAATGATGGTGGCATATCATCTGATATCACTGGGAGAAAAGCTCTTAATGAACCTCTGTGAACTGAGACTGGGAGGACTGCTCTGATGCCCTGTCAAGTGACCAAGCGAGCACTGGCATCAGACACTTAAGTAGGACTTTGCTTGTACACTCCAGGCCCGGGTTAGAAGCCACAACTCTACGGATGGAATTTAAATGAGCCCCACCCTGAAACACTATGGCTGTTTAGAATTACTTGTTTTTTTCCAATTACCAAAGCTCTTTAGTGACCAAATAAAGCTACCAGTGTACCCTTCCCACCAAAACCAGTGTTTAGCATCCTGGACCAGCCCTTCAGGGCCTGAGGTCCCAGCAATTAGAGTCAGAGGTGTGGGTCTCCAAGCTCCTCTCTGACCTTTGCCCTGGTCAGAGCAGTGGAAGCCGGGCTCACCGATCCGATATTTAAGCAGTCGTTTCCCAGTTATTTATTAATCACGGCTCATTCACTCCTCTACCGAATGCACATAGGTCAGCGTCATCACCCCAGTGTTATGATGACAATGTCCTCCCAGCGTGGAAGACAGGTGAAAGGGACAAAATGGAATGATTTGTCCAGCAGCACCAAGAAATTGGTGAGAAAGTAGAATCTCAAATGCCGGGCCTTTATGACTGCATACACACGTTTGCCTGCCAGCTCTCCAGAACAACTCAAAACCCCAGGGGTTTCTGGGTCAAGTTTGCCTGAAGCCTAAACTGAAAGAGACAGCATCCTCTCTGCTATGGCCTTTTCCTAGAGAGGCCTGATCATTCATTTATAACAAATTTCAGCCAGGGCCCCTTGACAAGGGAGGCCAGCCCAGGAACTGAGGGTGAGCCAGTCAGAAGGCGGCAGGCCCAAACTGTCCCCATGGTATTCCAGGAATGTTAATGGGATGCCTGAGTGGAGGCCTTCAGAGCCCCACGCTGGGGCTGAGGACTGTTCTGTGACCATCTGTTGAGGCCCAGGAAGTCTCATAGCAACAGCTTTTCAAGAATGGTGCTTTTTTTAAATTAAAATTAACTAACAAAAAAAAACCCCAAAACTGCTCCAGCGCTCAAAGAGAATTAGGACAGGATTCGGATTCTTTCTGCAGAGTGATAAGGTTTTAAGGAAGAAAGCACCCCTGTATCTTTCATTCCCATTCTTTAAATGAGCAATTTGTACTTGCTTTTGAGGTCTTAATTCTGTGCCCCACCCCTCACCCCACCAAAGGGTAGAATTCACTTTTTGGAAAAGGGCGGAGGTGAAAACAAGTTTCTGAAGCTATGGAGAAATAACTGGCAAAAATACGGTTAAGGAAAAGCAATCAGAGTATTGAGATTTTCTTGGTATTTGTTGTTCTTAGCAATCCTGTCAGCAGCTGCATTTTTCCTCTGTAATAATGTGAGCTTTGAGCCTGGCTGTTTAGTTAATGAAATGAACTTCAGACAAAGACACTAATTTTACTGTGATGACGTATGGGCTCCAATAGGAATCTCTCGAATCTGTGTAACAGCTGATCTTAGAAAAAGAGGGAGGGGAAGTGATATTGGTAGTGTTAAACTTTTTAATTGGTGAGGTATTAAATTAGCCATGAACAAAAATTGTGTTATGTCCTCAAGATACAAGACCCTGTAAAATAATCAACACCTGAAGCCTAACTAGCACCTGTGTGTACGGGGCAGGCATGCTAGCCAGAGACAAAGGAAATATATTCTGTTCCAATGTCTACCCCTTACTGGGCTATTTTACGAAGGTACACAGCTCTTAGAGCACAGTTCCTCCTCTGCAAATTGGATTTCTGCATTGTTAGGAAGGTTACATATAAACACACAAGAGGAACTCTGGGAAATGCCCCTTGAATCTGAATGACATCTCTAAAGGAGAGTTATATACGGTCATTCTTGCCATTGTCCAATCCTGGGAAAATATGTTCATGAGAACTTTTATATTCTCTTCATTTTTCA